GGTATCACAACGACATGACCCAGAAGCGTATACGAAGAACCACGCAGAATGTTATCTGACAACCGCAGTTCGCGCATTACCGGTGTCTGCAACAGACATACAAAATGCTTCTAGAAACGACCCCATCATCAAGATGACGATGAAATATGTCACTAACGGTTGGCCGTCGAAAAAGTTTGAAGGTGACATGAAGCAACTGTATCAGCGGCGGGAGTCACTATGCATCGTGAACGATTGTCTGATGTTTGGTGAAAGAGTAGTGGTGCCAGAATCCCTTCGTGCAAAAGTGCTGAGACAGTTCCATCTTGGTCATCCTGGGATTAAACGAATGAAGTCCATAGCCAGGAGTTATGCATACTGGCCTCACATGGATCAACATGTCACAGCGTTGGTTGAAAAATGCATCCGGTGTCAGCAGGCGGCAAAGATGAATGCCAAAATTCCGCCGGTTTCATGGCCCAAACCTGAGCATCCTTGGTCCAGGATACATGTCGACTTCGCTGGCCCAATAAATGGAACTATGTATTTAATTGTCGTCGACGCCTTTTCTAAATGGCCGGAAATCAGCCCCGTTATGCCGCCCACTACAACTAAGACTATACAGCTCCTAACTGAAATTTTCTCACGAAATGGCATACCAGATGTGATCGTATCCGACAATGGCTCTCAATTCACCTCTTCCCAATTCCAGAATTTCTGTCAACGGCTAGCTATTAAACACTTACGCTCGCCACCATACCACCCGCAATCGAATGGGCAGGCGGAAAGGTTTGTGGATACGTTTAAAAGAGCACTGCTCAAGTCAAAAGGGGAGGGGACGCCAGCCGAAACGTTACAAAATTTCTTGTACGTCTATCGGACAACACCAAATGAATTGTTACCGGAGCAAAAGTCCCCAGCTGAAATCCTGATGGGAAGAAGATTGAAAACGATTCACAGCCTGATGCATCCGACCAATGCACCCTCATCAGTAGAGACAAAGCAGCAAAGACAATCCGCTTACGAGGTGGGATGCCCTGTGTTTGCCCGCGACTACAGAACGAACCATGGTCCTTGGGTAGAAGCGAGAGTGGTCAGAAGGGTTGGTCGAGTTATGTACGAAGTAGAGGTAGGAGGTGATAAATGGTCACGTCATCGCAATCAGATACGCAGACGGCTAGCCCCAGATCGCCCATCAAGAGCAGAAAGCCTTCCCCTTGACATCTTGCTTGATACCTTCAACCTACCGAGAGCCCCGCCACGAGAAGAAACTCAGCAGCAAGCTGTTCTTCGTTCCCGAAGGTATCCCCTCAGACAGCGGCGAACAATAGTCAAGATGCAAGTCGACCCCAGGAGAACAAGCTATTAAAAAGGGGAGGAGTGTTGGGGATGTTAGATCCCCAAAATTCGCTTGATAATGCCGTATTTTGGTTTTCACGTTTCGCCAGCAGGGGCTGATCAAATGACCTTGAGATTTCAATTCCCACCAGGAAAATCAATGGCTGTGATTGGCTACAGTGTATTTTAGTATGCTATTTTCTTAACTGTCTCAAGGACGTTGTTATGTTGTTCAGTTACGCCGTAGCCAACTGTCAAGAAAGCAACATTCTTGCTATATAGCAATAGATTAAAAAGAGACTTGTGGTTGCAGTTTCAGGGTTCTGAATCGACCCCATTTACTACCCAAACTGTTATTTACTTCATCATGCTGTTTTAATCATCAAGAAACAATGGAAAATGAGAGTAGTGTCAGATTGCGTCGCTAAAGTAGCTGGTAAATTGGTGGATGACCTGTCCCATCAACAGTCAAATACGTCAGTATATTACTTGGTATTCTATTACGTCTGCTCTAGAAACTGTCAGTTGTTTGAATTTTATGACTTCAATCCTTTTAAGAGAATGTAATTAATAATAATAATAATTTATTTTCAAATAACAGCATGTTCAATGGAAACATTAATCATTATAACCAATAGCATCAGCGATTGTTTTGATGAATCTTTTGTTTACTTGTACTCAGTAAGCTCAATCGTTCTATTTGTGTAACTGCTGCCCACAGTATCTTCGTCGCTATTTTGTGGCACGATTTCGGTATTTCTTCGATACTTCTAAATTGCCAGCAAATGTATTCCTTTGTACAGATCAATTTTTCTCCTTGATTTGCAGATATAATATAGTTTGTGACGAGAACGTAATCGGTCTGTTATGGTGAACTTAGTCAACCGATTATCACACTAAAATTTCATGAATGTTCTTACCTGTCTGAGAATTCGATCCGATGTTTGCATAAAATTTCCGAATTCGACAGAATGTGATCAGATAAAACAAGAACAGGCTATTAAGTAATTAATGTGAATATGTTCATTCTAAATAGCAGAATCCCTTCATGTTCTGCTTTAGACATCCCAACAGTTATGGCTATCATATATTCTTATCAACTATGAAGAATTTCGGCAATCTGCTGGGGCTTATATTTGATTAAGAGAGTTTACAGACACATCAGATCAGATGAAATTGGTAAGCGCTTAATTGGATTGGTTAGTTATGGATATAACTAACAGTAGGTCCCATGTTATGCCTTTACCGCTGAAATTAGGGATTCCTTCAGTATTTGAAGTCGCCCCGTTTTCTTCCATAAACTTTCATATTACCTTTAGTTCTTAGTTCAAGTAGGCGGATAAATTACTAAACCGATCAATGCTCTTAAGCTAAATGATGATGCAAGCATGATGCATTACCCTATGACGTTTTGGGCTGTCCGTCTAGAATAAAATTTTAAGAACAGAACCCAGTGATCGTCAAATTCTACCTTAGCAGCAACATGCAACTCAAAATGCCTGATGAACCTCCAGTAAACTGGTGACTGACTCTCAAGACTACATAGTCCTGCCTTAGAAAACTCTAAGCCAACAACACATTTCGTCTTTCTTTATGAATAATTCGATGTTTCTGGCTTTCCAGGAGTCGGGTTTTTCCTAAAGTCATTATCAGGAGGGCTAACGAAGTGGTCTATATATTTTAGGCGTCCATCATCTCAATCGGGGACAACAATACTTCACATCTTATGTTCGCTTTTAGCCTTGATAAGTCAGGCATTCCAAGTACTTGTCAGTAGATAATTACTGTTTGTTTGATAAATGTAACGACCAACTTACCAGTATTTGGTCTGAACCTAGGGCTGACGAACAAGGGTCGATTCTACTAGGTCAAACTATGTTCTTTTGTATAACGCATGAAGGATTTTGGAGTGACTCAAGTTGAATTATATTAAAACGCAAACTCAGTTCTAGCTAAAGAATATCCCAAAACGGTACACTGTAAGCTATTCAGTCAATGGTTTGTGCCGCGCACTAGACAAAAAACTGATTGTTAATTAATAAGTGTTTGGTACCTGAGAATCGAGAAGAGTAATAACAATCTGGAATCAAATATCTACGTATAAGGATCCGAACATCCATTTCTGCCATGAATTTAAAGGTCAATAACTGTCGAACGAATGGTTCCGTAACCGTAGGTTTACTCAAACGCAACGTAACTGTCAAAGACCTCGCAATAAGCAACAAAAAAATATAATCAAGGCGAATATTGACTAAAGTTGGGTACTAATGACTAGAGAGCATAAAACGTGGTTACAAGAGTTGTGAATAAAATTTAAATACGAAGTAAGGTCAAAGAGGAATGAAAACACAACACCGTTCAATTCACATCTACGGAGAGACTTTCAGTTTATTCTTCTCACTACACATATCATACGATAGTTAACTAGCCTGGCACATAGTGACCTGACGACTAGGCGTCTCTACTTCTGTAAAACAATTAGGGAATAGATCAACACTACTGAAGAATTGTATTCAAATCAGAATGAACCAGGAAAATAAATATACAGAGGCTCTATCCAGCTGCCATATTTGACTACCCATATCATTGGATGATGAATAGTGCTGGTAATTTTCTGAAGTTGATGAAGTTCAATAAGTAATCAGAAGTCAACGGATCATCCTTCTAAGATGAGAACAGTTTTTGGCAAAACCAATTTGGCTAATGTTCACTCTTATTATCCGAAGCCGATCGGTCGATAATTCATCAAAATATATCCATTCCAGAGCGATCAACAAGTGGAGCTACTAATACCTTGCATTCGAATGACGATCTAGTTTGAGGAAACTAATTTCTTTACCGGTATGTCTCCATTTGCTAGTAACTTATAATACTGATCTCAAGCTTCCAGTATTTTCACTCAGTCTCCGTAAGTCGAAACAATATAGTGAAGAAAGAACTTAAGGGAAATATCAGTGGAGGTACTTAGCTGTTAAGCCAAGTGAATACGAGCTAATAATACGAGCTACATCACATGAGACACTAGATAATAAATAGCCTTTAAAAAATATCATTGATATTCACTAAATAATATTGCTGTTATGAGTTGCGCTCTTGTAATAAAAAGATCTTAATCTATTCTCACCAGAAGCTAGGAATGAAGGGGTTCTAAGATAGTCGACGTGTCTAGAAGCATATGATTCACACTGGTTAGTCAATGAGGGGTGTGTAGCACAGCATACTTAATGATATTTTGGTTAGTGGGCCCAATTAAAAGCCTTCAGTCCACTAAAACTAGTGAGGTCAGGCATCAATACTGAAGAATCATAGAGCAATTTATTTCGTAGATTTTATTATAGCTTCAAGTCGATAAAGAACCAGATGAATGTATTTTATTGTCTGTTAAAAATGTCGTCATTAGCATCAAACTTTAAATGCCTATCTTTCAGAGAATTGATTAGTTGTTTCCTAACGGAGTTACGCTATAAGACTTTCGTTCTGTTAAACACTGTATCATATCCTGTGACAGTTTCCATGATCACTCTTTCAGAGTTCACATATAATATTGTGCTTCTTTCCCATTTTGTCATAACTATTTCGAAATTTTGCTGTCTGCATGTTCCTCAAGCTCTTCACCGATAGGTAGTCAATAGCTAGAATATTACTGAAGTTGTTCGAAAACTGGATATTTTGTTTGTCTGAGTAGGTGGCGTACGTAGGCGCATTTAATGTATTTCTCCTCTTGGAATTTAAAAATAGTTGGATTTCTGTGACGATTGCAGGTCAGAGAAACCCATAGATTTTCACTATTCATGACAGAAAATTCTTGGCTCATGTAATTTTCGCTACGCAAGTGATTGCTTCATTACTTCATTGGCAGTCACCTAACAATAAGGTATTGTGCTTTTCCATTGTTGTTTACTTGTTTCTGTTAAATTGGTTTTAATCACCGGTCTCCAAAATAAAACATATTCATGTAACTGCCTGTAGTTAGTACTCATTCGAGCTATTATTTCTTTACATTTATTTAAATAACGATGCATATTGGATTATTGCCAGGATTTATTGCTTTTCCTTCATTGACATTTTAGTAGTTGTATTGTTAAACTAAAAATAGTTCCAATATATAAGTTCGTGGCATAAGTCTCGCAAATTGTGGATACCTGAGCTTGCATACTTCCCAGTGCCTAGAGCATGTTATTCCATCAGTACTTCGTGAAGTAGTTGAAATTCGTTAAATTAAAAATTGCTAGGTGTCTATCCTGTCAATTTCTAATGTGCCTATAGACTTCTCTGTCTATTATAATTTTCCGGGTTGAAATATACAACGTGTCAGTAGTTTATTCAGTTCCGTAAGTTTGAACATGTTTGGTTTAGCGGCATTTGACTCTGTAGATCGTGAGGTTCTGTGGCAGTCTCTGTCATTGAAAGGTGTACTAAAGAAGTACATTAACCTCATACAAGCTCTTACTCGAATACCACTGGTCAAGCGAGAGCTTATGGCAAACTGTCACCGGAATTCCTGACTTCATGTGGTGTCCGTCAGGAATGTCCACTTTCTCCATTCTTGTTCAATTTTATCATAGACATGCTCCTCGATATAACCTTATCCTCGTCCGACTTTCCAGGAGTAGACCTTTTACCAGGTGGCTCGCTTATTGACTTAGAATATGCCGATGACATAGTTCTATTCGGTGAAGACGCCGACAAAATGCAGTCTTCTGACTACCCTAAGCAACAATGCAAGCATGTTCGGGATGCGGTTTTCCCCCTCGAAATGCAAAATGTTGCTTCAAGACTGGGTTGCATCGGCACCTGAACTAGTGATAGGGAGTGAAGTAATCGAGCGTGTAGACCGCTTCACTTATCTGGGGAGTCTCATCAGTGCCGATAGCCTGGTGACCGACGAAATCTCAGCTCGGATACAGAAGGCTCGATTGGCTTTTGCCAACCTGCGTCACTTATGGCGAAGGCGAGATATCCGTTTGCTGACTAAAGGACGAGTGTACTGCGCAGTAGTTCGCTCCGTCTTACTTTATGGCTGTGAAACATGGCCAGTCAGAGTAGAAGATATTCGTAGGTTACTGGTATTCGATCATAGATGCCTTCGAAGCATTGCTCGTGTATCGTGAGACACCCGAGTGAGCAACGCTGTTATTAGTAAACGGGTGCTAGGTAAGAATAGCAAATCAATAAATGAAGCATTGAAACTTCATCAGTTGAGGTAGTTGGGACATGTGTTACGTATGCCTAACCGCCGACTGCCTCGACGAGCTTTGTTTTGTAGTGTAGGAATAGGTTGGAAGAAAGTTAGGGGCGACCAAATCAAAACATGGCACAAATCCATGAAGTCACTGACGAGTGGACTTAGCCATGTCGGTAGATGTAGACTACTTGGTTGGGGTTCTCTCAAATCCTAATCTTTTGGATTCTTCAACACCTCTAGTTTTGAATTTCTAAACTTTTCTCACTGAATCATACTTCTTGAATTATATCTTCTAATCCTAACCTCTCCGATTACTTCTAATACCTTTACTACCTCTTCTACTATTGGATTTGAATTGACAATTACATCTCTGTGTGCTAATAATGTGGTATGGCAACATGAACTGATGTACTTACGTACGAAGTTCTACGTTGCGTCTGACTGACTGACATGTTTGGTTTTATTCAGGCGTGGTACTGGGTGTATTTCTAGGAGTTATGTGTTCACTTGGACTACATTACTAAGTCTCTTTAATGCTTAGAGAAAACAACGGGGAACGCTTAACAGTGGTACACCGAATGTTTAATCAATCATATCTTCAGAATTTATGTGCAAAAATCTAGTAATTTCACTACTGTGTAACCTAGTCAGGCAGCAGTCACTGCTCTCGTCGAAGTATACGGTGATATATGGAAATTCAAAACTTCTCTGACTGAATTTGTTAACCTAGCACTGTGTCCAACTTTATTATGGCTCTGAGTTTTCTTGAGTCTCAACGAAAGTAGATCATTTGGATGCTGGCAAAACAATTATAGCCTAGTTAGGACGGTTTGAAATGCTACTAAAAACATATTGGAGACTGGATAACCACGCGAGTATGTTTTTTTTTGGAAGTGTATTACAAATTAAAACTAATATAAAGATAAAAGGTTCCTTACTTACGCTACTGCATGACTAACCACCGCGTCCTCACCTTGAATTTAAAGCTAGGACTCAGTAGTTTAATTATTTTTTCATAACACCAACCACTGAAAATTAGGCCTGAAAAATTTTCCAAAGTTATTCTATACTTGAATTTAGCTTGCATTTACAAGTGCAAAGTATGCATGGATTTTTTCATCTAGTTACGGTGATTGAGGGTTGCAATTCCCAGATATGCTTTACGTTGCTGAGGTAAAAATGAAACAAGCCAATAAATGCAACAATCAGGTTTTGTGTAAACAAACTAAGGTAAGCAATCCCACAGTGGCGATCCCAACAGACTTAACTGATTACCGAATAAATGCCGTTTTATTACAGTAATAATGTTCGGTTGTTTTTTGCACCTTAGCGATCACTGCGTACAAAATTGGTAAAACTGATTTGAACGCTACAATGAATTAGCACGAACATTGAGTGATAAATGTATATTTTTTCTTTATCACAAATGGCCGAGTTTTATCTCTGACAATTGAGTTATGTTTGATCATTAAGAAAGACACAGTCTTCTGTCTGTTCTGTATTGTTTGTAAATTTCATTTTTTTTGTCTTTCTAAACGTAGTCAATAGAGATGATCTTAGTCAGCTACAACGTAGAACTCGGTTCGTACGTACATCAGTTCAAGTTGTTACACCATATTAGCACAGAGATGGATTTGTCAATTCAAATCTCATATTGGTAGAGGTAGTAGTAGTAGTAGTAGTATTGAACGGTTAGGGAAACAAGTAACAAATATAAAACCAGCTTATTTAGATTTCCAAAAAAAACTGACATCAAGCGATCTGTCTTGATCGGGGTTTTTTGAAAGGTAAGATAAATTCTCGAACACCACTTATTGTTCTGTTTTTGATTATTTGTTATATACGATGTCTGGGATATAGTTTCGTTCCTCAACACAGGATTTCGCCTGAGGACCTAACTATATATCACTGCCTTGTTAAGTAATTGGAACTACAATAGTTGTGTAGTTGTCTGCGGAAAATTTCCTTTTAGCTTTGTCAATCCAGGTAAGTGGCTGCTAAAATGTGTACTAGAATTCAATACTCTCATTTGGGTTTTCTGATTTCTTCTACCTGCGGCTCAGACGGAATATACGTATAATTTTCAAGGAGCAGGTAGGTCAAAGCTGTGAATGGTTGTGTACATGGCGGAAAACGAGGGAAATGCATGAATTTTGAGTACGTAACCATATTTATTTGTGAGTTATATCTGGTAAATCCACTAGTGATTCTCTCAATTAGCTATTATAGTGATAAGCTGGGCTACAAATTTTCTTCACAATCTCATAAGCTGGAAAAAGAATGATGGGGGCTAAATGAAGACTTAAAGTAATTGGTTATTGATTCGTGGTATGTATTCGGGTAGAAGTTTTTCGCTGTCTTCGAAAAAGCCATGATTTAACTTTGGCGATTTTGATAATGTCTCAAAGTCTGTGGTAGTGTAGTGAAGAAGAACACAGGTGAGGACAACCAAATTGTATTTAGCGAAAATTACAGAGTTACTCAGTAAAATTGGAAAACCATATCGTAAATCGTTCATTTGCAAAATAACAGTTCATCCTATCGAACTGGACTGTTCCTGTTGCAAAACATCAATCCATTGTCACTATTCATGCGTTTCATACAAATTTCATTGTTTTCTAACTCTTCCTTTCTTGATCTCTCCTCATCTTCCGCTGCCAGACATTACGTTGACACTCACGTCATATACTACTTATAAGTAGCTTATAAGTAGTAACTTGAGTATTTTTATTTTGTTTTTGGCTCTTGTATGTGCCCTTTCAGTTATCAACTACGACTTATATGATTCCAAATTATTTTTCTGCCTTATTATTGACACATTGTCTTGAGGTTGAATAATTTCAATCTAGACATATTTATTTCAAACGACGCTTTTATAGCTGGTTACACTTAATTACTTACCAACTCTGGGGATTGTATCGATTGATTAAGAAACTACAAGAATACATGAGTTTTCTTGGTTATCAGACTAACTTTTGTTACTTGGCATTTTTCGAAAGTAACAAGTGTAAGACCATCTTATCTCCCATCTTTTCATATTCTTCATAAATTCTTTAGTGTTCCCATGCGTTTCAGGCAAGTGATGTTTTGTTACGACAGTTATTCTTATTCACTGTAAGTGTTGTTACGTTTCACGTTACGGTTCACTTATTAGGTATGTTATGTTTTTTAGGCGTCAACTTTTTCATGAAACCGCTACAACTGTCCAATGAAAATTTATCTGAATTCGTGCAATCAAATACATTGGAATCTGATCCTGGAGATTGTTTTGGTGTAAATGTTTACGAGTTTCAAGAAGGAGAAGATCTTTATGGTCCTCGTGCACGTGGTTATCAGAAACCTAAACATATGTGGATGGCTAAAGATCAAGCCCTAACAAATATTAAATCAAACAGTCCAACTCCAGCGACAACAGCATTAGACTTTGGAAATGATTGTTGCACTACTCAGGATGGCCTTACTTCTGTCCCTTCTGGTAATTTAAGGTGTCCATCGCCGACTAATATGACGTACAATATAGGTTCTCCATCGACATCTGGCAGTATTCAGGGTCTTTCAACAGCTCTATCGTCTTGTACCAATACAAGCAGCAGTTTATGCAGTCATACTTCTCCAGTTATTGGTTTGAATATAGGTGAAGTCACTAACACATTTGAAAGCCCTACTTTTATTGACGTGAAAAATGAAAAAACTACACAACTACTCACTTGTGACATTAGTCCCATGGTTGTAAAATCCAAATCCAGCGTTAAACTAACAACTACCAAAAAACAAACTACAGGAAAATTTTCCCGAAAGAAATTCGAATCAAACAGTAGTGTTAATTCATCTGCATCTGATACTAGTAAAGTTCAATTATCAAATGACAAGCAACCTTATTCTCACAGGCATCGACAACCTCGTTCTCGTACCAATCGAAAGTCTAAACGAAATCCTGTAAGCGAGTCATCATCATTGACTTCTATTTATCCAACCCAAACTCCTAATTCATCCTCAGATACCCATTTGTCTTTATCACCCAGTTTAACTATGACAGAACAAATAAACGAAGAATCTCCTTTACAAGCACCTATGTATTCCAAAAGTTTGCCTTCATCAGCTTTTGTTTCTGGTGGACTGAAAATTCGGCTTCGCCGGGATACAGCTCTAGATTTTAATATTGGGAAAAGCAAGCGAGCTAAAAGTAAAACAACTTCAACATTTCGTATTGTGGAATCCTGGTGTGATGCGGATGCTCCAGGGGGAGAGTTTACCAGGAGAGCCAGAGCAGTTACTAGTAACTCTACTTCCCCTACATTTAGTATGGTTTCAGGGGGACTACGCGTGGGTGATATAGTATGGGCTAAACTAGCTGGTTATCCGTATTGGCCATCCCAGGTTAATGCTATTTGGGCTCGCACTGCTCATCAACTTTCTCAAGCCACACTACTTCCAACTTCACAGTCATTAGACAACAATACATCATCTTTGGCTGTTCTTGCAACTCCCTCGGATCCAAGTTTAGCGGCTGGATATACTGCTCGTGTCGACTGGCTTGCTTGGGATCAATGTTCCTATTTAAGCTGTGCTAAGTTGTACCCTTTTAAAGAGTCTTTTGATAAGCTTTATAATCCACGTACCAGGGTAAAAGGATATGCAGAAGCTGTACGCCTTGCTAAGCAAATTGTAAGTGGGACCTATATTCCTAGTGAAAATTTGGATTCTCAGTTAACATGTATGTCTCCGCAAAATAAATCTCATTCATCATTATCTGGTCAGATTTCTGCACCACCAAGTACTGATAGCCAATGGTCATCTATGACAACTCTTTCATCTTCTTTAGAAATTCCAACGACAGGTAGTAATAATCAAATCTCACGTGAATTAGTGGAAAAACACACTATACTATTACCGTCTGAATTACCACCGGATGCCGCCTATATATCATCATCATCATCACAATTAAGTCCGTCACATTCAATTGCAAACCTCTACTCCGGTGAAGGATTAGTACGAACATCAGACGCATTTTCATCCACCTCTAATAATTCATGCCTTCTAATAGGTGAGAAAAGTCTAGAATTGCCTGAATTAGACAGTATGTCCATGTGGGCTCCTCTTCCTCAATTAGATGTATCAGGTCTTGGTGTTTTTCATGTGCCCACTTTTTCAGAAGATGAAGAAGAAGATTTGGATCAATCCATAGTGATGAATCAATTACACTTAGATTTTGGTTCATGTTTGCAATAATGATACACAATAGCCATAATCGTGTGATATTTAACAGAAAGGTAAAATGCTCTTGTCTTTTCTTTGCTTTTTTTTATCTCTAATCTTTCAGAGTCCAAAGTGTATCGTTTTTTTTTCCGTTCGTTCGTTCGTTTGTGTGTTTGTTTGTTTATAACCTGGTTTTCTCTCAGTCTCTCTCTCTCACTCACTGTCGATATCTCTCCTTAATTGTGATAGATCTACACTATGGTAGTAATGTTCTTGGTGCCTATTTTCATTTATTGCGTTTTTTCCTGTTTTGTTTTCGACCATCTCTCGTATTGTGACTTGAATATCACTTACAGTCAATCAATACTTTGTTTAAATCGTTGACAATGGCATATTGATAAAGTTCAAGTTTTGCAATTGTCGCGAACTTTGAAAGTGTGTATATTAATTGAATGTTGAACAGTGTTATTACTATTATTATTATTATTATTATTATCATTATTATTACTATTATAGTTATTGTTACTTGTTACTATTGCGAATTATGCATCGCACACAGAGTTAATCATCGTTTGCGAATAAAAAAACTCATGTATTCAGGTATTTATTTAAATATATTATACAAGTAACTCTATGTATGAATAAATTCCTTCTCTAATTTCTACCAAACATTTTTTTTGTGCATATATACACTCAAAGACAAAACGAAACGAAACAAAACAAAAGAATGTTTGCATGTATCCTCTCTCTCTGTACGTTTTATTTTTGCATTGAACCTTTTGTACACACACACACACACTCATGCTCCACAAGTGGGTTCCCCTCTTTTGTTTTTTGTTTTTTGAAAAAAAATGTACTTGTTAATATATATTCATCCCACCATATCTACCATGAGAGAGAGAGAGCCAGGAGAGTACTATTTGTGATTTGAATTGTGTGTGTGTGTGTGTATTTTTGGCTCTTTGTGTGTTAGTTAAGTGAAGTTAAGTTGAGTTAATTCTCTGCCATAATTTTATGCAATTCAACAACAACAAAAAAAGTAATCTCAGTTTCATATTCTTCTTTTTTTTTTAAAAAAAAAACAATAGGGTTATTATTGCCCTAAACACAAAAACTCTATGCTCATTTCTTGTATAAATAATAATAATATTTTTTTTAAAAGTAAAAAATGCCCCTGCCCTCAACCCTCCCTCCGTCCGTCCCTCCTCCGATTTGTTCTTTCTTGCTTCCTTGTTGCTTTCTCTCCTTATCTCTCATACATTTCTCATCGTTTTTCTTTCTTGTTTTTTTCTCTCTCGCGTATTCCAGTTTAATTTGAGATCATGAATCAAAATGATGTCTTTGTAGTTTATTATTATTATTATTATTATTATTATTATTATTATTTTTCTGTCTTTATCTCTGTCTCCCTGTCTGTCTGTCTATCTCTCTCTTTCTCTTCCTCCTTTTTTAAAATGCTCACTTATTTTCTGGTCTCAAATTATAACACAATTTACATGCAAATATAAATATAAATATATATACATATACATATTAATAATTTTACAAAGTAAATCTTTTTTGCCTGAGTTATTTTTTTTTACAAGTTAGTTGTGTTGTTTATTTTGTAAGTCCCCCCCTCGAAATGTAAAATGTTGTTTCAGGGATTGATTAGCTTGTATTGGCACCCCTGAACTCTAGTGATAGGGAGAGTGAAGTAGTAGTTGAGCGTGTTGTTGATTGCTTCACTTATTTTGGGAGTTTGATCAGTGTTGATGGTCTGGTGTGTGACGAAATCTGAGCATGGATACAGAAGGTTTGATTGGTTCTTGTCAATCTGCGTCACTTATGGTGTAGGTTAGATATCGGTTTGCTAACTACTGGACGAGGGTACTGGCAAATAGTTCGCTCCGTTCTACTTTATTGCTGTGAAACATGGCCAGTCAAAGTAGAAGGTATTCGTAGGTTGCTGGTTTTCAGTCATAGGTGTCTCCCAAGCATTGCTCGTGTATTAAGGGACAACCGAGTAGGCGATTCTGTTGTTAGGAAACGAATAGTAGGTAAGGGTGTTAGGTCAATATATGGAGTATTGAAACTTCAGCAGTTGAGGTGGTTGGAATATGTGTTACGAATGATCAACCACCGACTGCCTTGATGACTGGTGTTTTGTGGTATAGTAGTGGGTTGGAAGAAAGCTAGGGGCGGCCAAACCAAAAGATGGCAGAAATCGATGAAGTCACTGACAAGCGGACTGAATCATGTCGGTAAATGTCGACTACCTGGTTGGTTCCCGCGGGATGTTAGTGATCGATAGTTCGAGACCCTGAATGACATGGCTCAAAACTGTTTGCGATGACGCGCATGTGCATTTATTCTTAAGAAACAACCTTCCACGGTGTGGGCACCCGGGACGTGATAACCGCCCTCATACCCGTAACAGTACGAAAGCGTCTGGAGTGGATTACATTCATCGAAAGTGCAATAGGGTAGCGATCGTTTTCTATTTTAGCTTATATATGATACAAGTGCTTGATTATCATGAAAAATTGAATGCCCAATCCAAAAAACTACTCGCATTATTTTTCGCTACATATACTTTCATGGAAGAGTTCTACATTAAGGTCGATGATACTTTTTGTGTAGCGTATCTGCGAAGTTATGAACTTTCTGAACTGACTAGTGGACTGAGTCATGTTGGTAGATGTAGACTACCTGGTTGGAGTCCGCGGGACGAAAGTCACTAATGGTTAGAGACCTTGAATGATATGGCTCAAAATCGTTTGCAATGGCGCAAGTGCATCCATTCTTTGAGCTCTCTCAAATCCTAATCTTCTGGATTCGTCAGCACATCTACCTTTGTCTTTCTAACCTTATCTCACTGAATTATACTTCTTGAATATTATCTTCGAACCCCAGTCTTCTCCATTACTATTAATACCTCTACTATCTTTATCACTATGGGATTTGATTTGACATTTGCGTCTCTGTGCTAATAATGTGGTATGGCAACATGAACTAATGTACATATGTACGAAGTTCTACGTTGCAACTGAGTGGAGCAGCTTGGTAGACAAGCAGTCACCTATGATTCTTTTAGAACTTGAAGACAGAGATTACGCAACTCTAATGAATTGTACAACTACCTTAGAACAATGGAAGGGGAATTGTTACATACTTCACTGTTAATCTCTAGACAGCTTTCCGCAGTCTATTTTTATAGCCAAAATCCTATCAAACGATTGAAAGGAAGCCCTAATGTAAAGAAACACGAGGACCTGATATATGTGATGGTTGTTATACATCATTCGAGTCCATAATTTCCTTGTCGTCCATTCCGCGAGGGAGCTTGGAGTAGTGCGTTTCGAATGACTGACGTTTGCTGTTTTACCAGTCAATATCTCTTCGGATCATTCGCTAAATAAGTTTGACCTAAGGTTTTGAAGCGATTGGACAGTCTACTATGGCCAGTATTGCATGTGCCACTAGAATTTTTTTGTGGCTGTTTCTTGTAAGTAATCAGGTATGTTTGTTACCGCCACTATTCAGGTGTTGATGAAAGGTTTTTTGTCGACTTAACAAGCAATTGTATTCACCATACTTATGGCTCCCTGTATGTAGACATACTGTTCTATTGAATAGGATCAAGGTTAGATTCAATTTTCACTATTCAGTCATAATAATTGATGCATAGCCTATTAGGTCGTTTGTATATTAATGTTTTAAACAAAACAGAAGTAGAGTAGTCATTAGAGATTAGTGTTAGGAACTGTGTTGTATGATGTATATGTGACTCAGATCAAAATAAGTTTAAATTAGTTGAGATAAATGGTTGTGTAGAATGTGCAACTGTGAAGCCTAAATTGTTAATTTGCTCAATATTATCAATGGCTACTTCGTTTCACCCCATAAGACAATCTTCTTCAAATACCAAAAGCGGTCATAAGCGCTACGCTATTAATTCTCTTTACAAATTTAATTAGTCAAAAAACGTCAATCGATACTTAAGTTTACTAAGGAGTGATGGTGCTAAAAAAGCTTACAACCGATGCTCCAATTGAGAGGTCAAGAGTCCATCCATAACGTGGTTAATAAGATAGGTGGTCTTCATCTAGATCGCGAAATAGTTAGGAGCGCAGTCTTAGCTTTAAAGAAATAAGCTATTCAATATAATGACTACACAATCTGAGTGTACTTTAGCTATTATGTTTCAGTTCCAATAGAAAGTTTTCAGCTAATTCTTAACCAACCTATTTAAGCTATTTTCAAAGAGGTAGAGTATTTGACCAAGTGGTCCATTTCGCAAAGTATAATATGATTTGATGTTTGAAACAATCAGTTTCTGGACTATTAAATTCAAGTTGTGAATCCTGCATATTTTGTTTTAGCTAGACGAGTAGTAGTACTACAACCTCGATAGTGTAGCACAGATTCATACGTGATAAAGAATTCTATTTTTATTCTATGAATTATAAATTTCAGCATAACTATGGTATTTTCCTATGCCACGTGTGCCAAATATTCGGTATCTGTATACATTGAAATAATCAGCCAATCATTGTTAGAGCATTATTAAAAACCTGAAGGCACTGGACAGCCGTTTCGTCCCAGTATGGGACTCATCGGCAGTGTGCACCCACGACTCCTGCTAATTGTAGGATTCCGGCCTAGTACCTTCTTCAGTCTAACGCGCGGACGCTTAACCTCTGGGTTGACATCCAACGGTGTTAATGTTCAATTCTGATCAATCTAGAGATTTTGCGCGACCTCACCCATTTGTCTTTGGTAGTCAATGCTTACACCCGACAGGGTTGAACTCCTCCACTGGTCGCGTCTTCTCACCAGAAATCCGAGAATTTCCTGACGAAGCTAGTCAGTAGTGAGAATATTGTACTTTTTTTCAATTAGTTATGGAGATTAGTGTCTTGACACATTGAAATCATCGGG